CGACAATGGACTATATCAAAAGTGCGGGACAAGGGTCATCAGACGCTTTTCTCATCTATGTTTGAGGTCATTGTGCTCTGCGTCTACCAGAAAATCAAAATCATGTGATTGGACGAATGTCTCACGTTGGTTATAAAGTCATTTTTGAATAAGTGAGTAGTAATTGGTCAATGGCGTCAAAGCCTTTTTTCGTACTAGTTTTTGGTCTGGTCAATGCATGTGATATGCTCTTTTGGTTTATGGGGATGACCCATTTACATAAGTTAATGGTTTTTATACCTTGAACTCATGCTTATCTAATATTTTCTATTTTTGGTTGAAATATTTTGTATTTGGTAGAATGAACACTGACAAATTACCTTTTGTTTACTAATTTTTCCATCTCCTTCTTCACCACTCTCTGGGTACGCTGGTAGGCGGGTCGGAGAGGACGTGTTCAGTTTATGTCAGCAATTTTATACCCTAGGCTTAGGCCTTGGGCTTTGCACCAAATACTTTTCTTTTTGGTATTTTAAATCCAAGCTAGTAGTAAGTTTTAACGATCCCATTTCTCGCTATTGGTAACTTTTTATTAACCTAGTGGAATGGGAAAGTTGGTAACATCACATCACATGTGGTTTGGGGAACTGACGGGTCGGTTCTTATATCTTCTCTCAAATTTCAGATATGACATCATTTGATTATTCTCTCTTTACCAACTCCCATTGTGTTCACTTTTTTCAAAGTTTGTCTTCAAACTCAAGAATCATTATCTAAGCTCGTTAAAACTCATCATATATTAATTCAAATCAAATTTTTGATCCCTCCTTCCCTCCCTTCATGCAAGACAAATTGAAGCTATGTGTCTCTATTACATTTAGAAAAAAGGTGTTGTGTTTCAAAAAAAGAAAACAAGTTATCATATTGTTTATTTGTTATTTGGTAGCAGTTTATTTGTGGTTTATGTTGTGATGTTTGTGGTTATATTATTAGCTGGTTATATTTCTTTTTTGGTTATATCTTTATTATCGTGTACGGTTATTTTTCATTCAAGAAGGCCGCTAGCCACCCCGTAGGACGTGTTCAGTTTATGTCAGCAATTTTATACCCTAGGCTTAGGCCTTGGGCTTCGCACCAAATACTTTTCTTTTTGGTATTTTAATACCAAGCTAGTAGTAAGTTTTAACGATCCCATTTCAGAAATGTAAAACTTTGTGTGATCAGAGTGATTCTTCAATGAGTTTTTTTGAATACAATTGTTGAAAGGAATATCACTGTTTGATCATTTGTAAGAATCTATTAACACACCTCCTGAATTCTTAAAGAACCTTTTTCGTTCAGAACAAGTGTAGATAGTATCAGGTTTGATCACCTTCATACATGTAACAAGACTTAATGAAGCTACTTAAAGTCTTGAACCCACAATCTTTGGAGAGTAGCTGTAGCCTGTATCATCATGATAGCACAAACCCTGGGACTGTGGGGCATTGATTCAAGGGAGCACAGCTGAACACAGCCCCCAGATGTTCAAGTTGTCATGATACGATGGCCCCTCATGTTTGAACCCACAGTTGTAGGTAATGTTGAATGAAATTGGAAAAGGATCAATTGACACAGCATTCAAAGATGGAAATCAAGTTGAGATGTTTGGAGAGTACACCACGGGGCGGGTTTGAACTGGGACCACGTGAAATGTAAGTTGGGTATGACCACACTGAGTGGTTGTGTAGAACAGGTGGTAGCAGTGTGAGGGCGGCTACGTGGCCTTCACCCATGGCCTTTCACGTATCTTACACGTGGAGAGAAAGACCACGTTGGCGTGGCGTGACTTACCAGCCAATGAGTGGGTGAGCTGGGTCATACGAGCGCAACCTGCCAGCCAGGTGCTCAGCATGCAAATGAGCTCATCCAAGCTCACATCGAGTGCTGATCATGTGGCTATTCTCCTTTGAAAAGCATCCACTTCTTGACAAAATCAAAAGGACTTGGCCACAAATAAATTTACTTTGAAGCCTGCCCTTTTGAAAATCAGGCTGTACCACATCTTGGTGTCATTCTCAAAACCAAGATTTGGGTAAAGGTATGATGATCACTGTCAAGTCTGACATCACAGGTACGGTACATGTCACAGGAACCACAGTCAAAGAACCACAGTCATTCACAGTCCTCTTTGTTCATCGTCTTTCATCATCCGACTCCTGAACTTTAAACTATAAAAAAAAGATAACACAATTACCCTTATAAGAGTTTAACAGAGAAAAAACTCGATAACACTTTAAAATAACACTAACAAAAAGACTCAAAGATCGACACACACCCTCCCGGACCCCTTCTTCAACTCTTCAACTCACTCTTCTTATACCTTCCACCTCAATCTCAACCTCGTATTTCCTCTTATTCCAATCCTTCAAATCTGATCGATTATGTCACTCAATCTTGGATCGATCCTGTTCTATCTTTGCATCTAACGTAAGTCCTTTCTATTTTCTAACTCTTTTGATTATTCAATCCTAATCCATCATTTCATACACTTATTGGTTCTTTTTAGTTCTTCTTTCATCTTCAAATATTGATTCTAATGTTCTTTTAGCTTTCAGATCGATCGATTTTGAAATCCAATTTGTAAGTTCTTTGTTTGTTTTTCTTCTTTTAGTTTGATCATTCATATACTAACTAATCACTTGTTCTTCTTCTATCTTCTAATTTGAATTCTAGCTTTCCTAAATTGATAAATCGATCTGATTTCAAAGTTCAATCTGTAGGTTCTTCAATTTTCTTTCAATTCAAGTCTTTCATAGACTAAGTGATCATTTAATCTTCTTTTATCTTTTTATGTGTCTTCTTTGATTCTTTAGCTTCTTCTCTTACTTTCTTTTGATCGATTCAAGTCTAAGTTCAAATTTGTAAGTTCTTCTTTTTTTATTATATCTTCTTTCTTTTAGTTCGATCTATCTATAAACTAATTAATCATTTGTTCTTCTCTCCTCATTTGAAATCTAGGTTTGTATTCTTTATTTTTTTAGATTGATCGATTTCATACTAACTTGTTGATTTTCTTGATTATTTGTTTTTTGATTTTGAATCTCATCATGTTATTATCTTTTATCTTGAATTGAATGTAATAAAGACTAATGTTTATGCAAATTGTGAAATAAATAAGTTATAATGAATATGATTAATAGAGAATCTTGAACTGAGAATTGTAAATTGCAATTAAATTGATTTTAATGGATCTTCCAATGAAATCGACTCTGAATTTTCAAGGAACACATTAAAGAATAAATAAAAAATTGTTTCTTAGAGTGAGATCTAAATTGATTTCCACACCGCTCATTGGATTAGTCATTTCACACTGTTATGATGTGAGATGACTCACCCAATGGACAGGTGAGCCACCACGCTTTAGCTGCTCACCCTGGCTGTCATGTGTAGCTCACAACGGGTATCGCACTGTGGACAGCGCGTGATTTATTGGCAGAGAACTATTTCACGTGAATCTCACGTGCCAGCTGCCCCGTGGTGTACACATTTAGGGGATACAAAGTTGAAATCCGGCCGAAAATCCGGCCGCGTGGCCAGATTTCCAGATTCCATTTTTTTCTGGCCACGACTTGAAATTTGGCAAAAAGAGAAATCAACAGATCACTGGCCAGTTCTTCACTCACCTCAATTCCATATCCGACTCAACACCTCAATCTCAAGATTTTCGTTCTCATCCAACACCAGGCACCCAGAAATCCTTCCTTGCACTCTGAGTCAAATTGATCTTCATTACATTCTCATTCTCATTCAAATCAACCTTATCCTCCTTTATGGAATTCAACTAATCATCGAGATCGAGTGAAGATTACGGATTTTTTGAATAAAGGACAATTAACTTCAATGGTACAACAGATCGGTAACAGATCATTTTTCTTCTCTTGATTAATACTTTAAAAATCATATTCGATCTGATTTAAATCTAATCTACTCTTTTGGTTTTGGTTTTGTTTTCTCTTTAGCTGCTTCATATCAATTAAAAACACTTGAACCTGTGATTTTAGATGTTTTAACTCAAGCTGCAGAACAAAGACTCTTTCAAACCTGTGGATGAATGAAACTGGCAGACAATAGCAGTTGATCTTAGTCCAAAGACATCCTCGATCTAGAAGTTTTGTTAAAGAGTCACTTTTTGGAACTCTGAATTTTGTATTAGATCCTTTGTATAATCTTTTCACACACGAATCAAATCAAACAAGGATACAGATAAGTTTAAGAATAGTCAGACCAGATGGAATCTTTGTGAGAATTGAAGTCAAGAGTTGGTCTTTTTCATCAATCAAAAGATTTGAGATTGATCTATCATAAGGTTCATGTTGTGATTGATTAAATTGTAAGTTTGGTTGACCGAGAAAGCTGCCTTCTTTCAATTCTTGTCAGTTACAGCAATTTGATGGATTTGTAAGGCTTGAATCATGCGTAAGAAAAATCTATCCCGGCGAGATTGACTTGAAACATTGCAAGTGAGTCTAGGTTGTTCTGAACATACACCTTTCTTGCATGTCGTGCTGTTTGAATGGACCTCTTGAGGGCTATTTTGCAATGGTATCGAGTTGTTGCTATGTGAAGTGGGGGCGAGTCGTCGATATTGGATGTGGGACTGGTGGTGTAGTGGAAAGTTGGCATGGAACTTGAAGTCGGGGGATTCAAAGTTGAGAGAATCCGGACTCATGTCCAGATTCCGAATTACCGCAAAAAATGGAATCTGGAAATCTGGCCACGCGGCCGGATTTTCGGCCGGATTTCAACTTTGTATCCCCTAATTCATTAACTTGTCATTCAAATTCAGGATGTGTTCACTTTATGTACAATTGTAGCTGAAGAGGTAACTCTTCGAGATATGGGAAAATGCTACGTCTTACAAACCTTTGATGTGAACAAAAAAGAGAGGTATATGTACATAGTCTTTGAAGCAAAAAGAAATGGTACATGGAAAGTAAATGTATAGACTCAAAATACTACAGAGAACCAGTTTTGTAGACTTAGACACTGATGTGACCCATGGTTGGTCCCATGGTTGGACTCATGGTTGGTGGCTTGTGTGATTTCATCTACACACACACACAAAAAGGAAATGAAAAAAAAGAGTCAGAAGATGATCATCATCAAATAATCTTTGGAGAAAACAATTAGGAAGATTTACCTCCAAAACCACAAGATCATGTGTCATCTTTTGTAACTTATCTTCCTCATCTTGGAACTTTTGCCATTCAGCCTTGGTGACTTTCTTTTGCTTAGTGATAGCTTCTTTAGCCGCCTTGATTTGGTCTTCATCAGAGTTTGTCGTACTGGCGGTCTTTTCTGGTATATCAGTGAGGTTTCCAGCATTCAATCCAAGCTTATCTGAAGTTGAAGTTCTATCTGTTGGAGGCCCGTCCATGGTGTTAGAGTCTGTTCCTGAAGAACTTTCAGCTCGTTTCAAAACCTTGAAAGCCACCAAAAGACAAATTTTAACCTTTGTGATTTTTTCAAGCAGAGGAAAAGCTCAAGGGCTTACGTGAGATTCTTGCTCAAAGGTGTTGGTGGCATAAAGGCCGCTTGCTGGGGTCGCTTGAATCTGCGAAAACATGAGAGCACTAGCAAAAATCAGAGCGAAAGAGAGGAATTGCATGTTGTAGGTATGTTGGAAGGCTATGGCTTCAAGATTTTGGATGTAAGTAAAATTGATATCTGAGAAGAAAGAGTAAGATTGATGGGAGTTTAGTGGATGGTGAAAACAAACCAGAGAAAGGCGAGAGTTGCTCCCTTTAAATGTCATTTTTCGCTATAACCGCCATCGAGTTCCAGTCATCAAAGGTTGAAAAGCTGATGATATCAGCTATGAGGACGGGTCCCAGGGCTGGTAGAAAGGATCGTCAGGAGCATTGGTCCAGTGGGAGGAACGTTACAAAAAACGCCACGGTGCGCCGTCCTTGGAGGGGATTCTTTGTGTCTTTATGGGTTACACGAATCTTGTGGGAGCAGCATTGTTGAAGAATAGGGATTCTCATGGGCGTTTTTTCGGAGAGAGGGAACATACAAAAAATGCCACGGTCTGTTACCCTTGAAGGTAGTATGTATTGCCTATCTTTCTGAGTCACCTTTGAATTGCGGAAGAATAGCCCTTAGATTTATCATCACTCCTAACAAACTGTGGCATGGATTGCATCCCTAGAATACAACTTTCAAACTGGTATATCATGGCTACACTTGACTACTAGACAGGCTTTTTTGGGATGGACAGGTTCAACTCGCCTTTCAAGACCCACTGGCCCTGTCGTGCTGCAGTGCTGCCGTTGTGTAACGTCATGATCCGTGATAGGTGAGCACGAGGCAGCTTGTCTTTTTGCTACGAGTGCTCTCGCCTCCAAGTGCAACTATTGTGGCAAGGTGATCCTAGAGCTTAGAGGGGCCCCTTCTTGGGGCAGCTACTTCCACGAACTGAATGATGCAGAGAGCAACTTTCAAGGGTGACCACGGCATTTTCCTCGATCTCACTCTCACGGAAGCGACGCTCATGACGATCTCTATCCTCCAAGCGCTCCACTGCATGTAGACCACAAGGTTAGAAAGAGCTTACCTCCAAGGGTGACAGGCCGTGGCAATGTGCAGATGTCCCTCCCTCCGAAAAAGCGGACATGACAATCCCTTACCGCCCTTGTCTCTGAATCCGTAGTCGTTGCTGGTATCATATCGCTACTGATATAGCTTCCAACCTTGTGATGACTGGCGCTCGATGGCGGTTATAGCGAAAAATGCCATTTAAAGGGAGCAACTTTCGTCTGTCTTTGGCTTGTTTTCATCATCCACCAAACCCCATCAATCTTACTCTTTCTTCTCGACATTAATTTTACTTACATCCAAAAACTTGAAGCAATAGCCTTCCATACTTCCCATCTATTACATACCTGCAATATGCAATTCCTCTCTTCCGCTCTCATTTTTGCTAGTGCTCTCATGTTTTCGCAGATTCAAGCGACCCCAGCGAGCGTCCTTTCTGCCATCAACACCTTTGAGCAAGAATCTCACGTGAGCCCTTGAGCTTTTCCTCTGCTTGAAAAAATCACGGAGGTTAAAATTTGTCTTTTGGTGGCTTTCAAGGTTTTGAAACGAGCTGAAAGTTCCTCAGGAGCAGACTCTAACACCATGGACGGGCCTCCAACAGATAAAACTTCAACTTCAGACAAGCTTGGATTGAGTGCTGGAAGTGCTACTGATATGCCAGAAAAGAACGCCAGTACGACAAACCCCAATGAAGACCAAATCAAGGCCGCTAAGGAAGCTATCACTAAGCAAAAGAAAGTCACCAAGGCTGAATGGCGAAAGTTCCAAGACGAGGAAGATAAGTTACAAAAGATGACACATGATCTCGTGGTTTTGGAGGTAAATCTTCCCTGTGTTCTCCAAAGACCAATCCCATCTTCTTCTGACCTCTTTTTCCTTTTCGTGCGCAGATGAAATCACACAAGCCTTCAAGCATGGGTTCCGTCTGAAAAGTATCTTGAAAACCAAACATAATTCTTCGCTTTTTTCGTTTACTCATCTGAATGTATATACATCTGTTTTTCATGTACCCCTTGATCTCTTGAAAGAGCTTAAATTGTAATCCTTTTGTTCGTCATCAAGCCTCTGCCAATTTCGTATTAAACCTAGCGTGACTCCATTAAAATGGTTATCACCTGTGGGAATCAGGTAATCAGCTTGAATAAAAGCTGAGCCCTGATTGAACCAAGATGAAAACAATCTGAGGTAAAGAAGATTGTAAGAACAAAATGTTTGGGCTTGATAAGAGACAAAGATCAAGGTAAAGAGCACATAAGAGCTTGATATATTATAACAAAGTCAAACATTGACGGCATATAATCTTAGATATTACAAGTGTATGATGTAACGAAAAAATCGTTCGTCGTATATCACACCGCGGGAATTAACTCGTTCAAAACCCGATTGAGCGAAATTTCGGTGTCCGGGTTCGAAATTTCCTCGAATCGTGAAACTCGTTCACAACTCGTTAGCATTATGTTTGCCGATTTCCCTCGAGTACGCTACAATACATATACATACACAGCACTCTCAAAACCTTTGATTCCTACGGTTTGGCTGTCTCACTTCCCCACTGAACTCCTTTCTTGTGTATCTGGTTGATCAAGGCTTGACAAAGGAAGGTGAAGGCGAGTAATGGTGAAAGGGGTTGTTATTTTATCATGTGACTGTACATACACGGGGCCAGCAGAGTACACAGTACAGCCCGAGGGAAATTGGCAAACCTAATGCTAACGAGTTGTGAACGAGTTTCTTGATTCGAGGAAATTTCGAACCCGGACACCAAAATTTCACTCAATCGGGCTTCAAACGAGTTAATTCCCGCGGTGTCATCTGTGCTAACACGTTATACGTAGTAACTTGAGAAACTTTACTTGGTTGCATTGCTAAAAGTGGGTAATATCGTATCTGATGATAGCTATGAATGGATGTACTTACCACACTTGAAGGAAACCGGCGTGTGATCGTATTTCATCCTCAAATGGTGTACCATTTTGTCCCTTTTCATTGAACTGTGCTGATTCACACTGATTGATAAAAATGTATTGGATGATTGTCTGACTCTCACCCCTTGCTAAGATATGCTCATCGGAAGTGGCTCAAGCTCTGCATCATTTTGGGTTCCATTCAATTCGTGGACGTAGGACTTAAGTTGCATGATGTGGCACCGAAGGCCTATTCTACAACATTGACTGAACTTGCCAGAAATCTGAGAAGACTCCAAAAGAGAAGCGCACCTGCCACATGGTATCATAATCGGGCATATAACGTGGTGCAATACCAGAATGGCAGAAGTATTGGGTCTTGACATGACACTTGGCTTATGAAAATTCATCAACTTGGATATGAAACTCCATATTTATACTCAAAGGACAAGATGAACTTCCCACTGGAGAAATATTTGCTAGTCATATCAAACCTGCTGTTTCACCTTGTAGCTTGAAAACCTTCCAACAGGGATCATAATGTAAACAGTATGAAAGGTGCCCCAACTTATTGAGAGAAGCTGATGATAATATCGAGTCAGCGTCACGTGCTCCACCAAGGAAAGATGGAAATGCCATCAAAGACTGATATGCTCATACAGTACGTCCATTTGTAGTTACCACCTAAATGAGAGCATCTGGTTCAAAGCATCTGGTTCAAAGCATCTGGTTCAAAGCATCTGGCTCAAAGCATCTGGTTCAAAGCATCTGGCAGAGAGAATTCCATCAAGGTACGGTACAATCCTATATATATCTCTTGATATAGACATTGTTTGTGGTGACGATTTTACAAAAGATTTGGAGAAAAAACAATTACATACAGTCTCAGCTCTTACAGGCGATCAAGTGATGATGGAAAGCAAATTTTTACACTCCAAAGAATAGAAAAGAATGATTGATGACATCAAAGAATGTAGGAAGCTTCTAGATTTCCCTATCAAATGGGACCCATTGTTGCGGGCTTGAACGATTTCATCTGCGTACGAAAAGGAGAAAGAAGCACGAAGAACATAAGCAATTATCCTTAGTAAGATGTAAAGAAATATACGTACCTCCAAAACAACATAGTCATTGATCATCTTTTGTAACTTTTCCTCCTCATCTTTGAACTTGCGCCATTGAGCCTTGGTAGTTTTCTTTTGCTCGGTGATAGCGTCCTTGGCCGCCTTGATCTTAGCTTCGCTTGCAGGGTCAACAGCAGTGCTCTTTGGGGACGAGTCGGTGGGAACGACACTGGTCGATGGCATAAGTCTATCGGGGGTTGTAGTGAGTGCGGTCTTTTCTGGTAGCTCATTAGTATCTCCACCGGTTGAGTTACCGTCCATGGTGTTGGAGTTTGATGCCGCTCGTTTTAAGACCTTGGAATTCATCAATGGAGAATTGTCAAGATCAGCGTGGAGTGGCATCAGCAGTGAGCCCCGGCTTAGAAGCTTACATGGGAGTCTTGCGTGTACGTGTTGGCTGATGAAAGGCCGCTTGCGGTTGGGGCCGCGTGAATCTGCGAAAGCATGACAGCACTGGCAAATACGAGGGCAAAAGAGAAGAACTGCATCTCGACGGTGATAGATTGAAGTTTCTGAGCACGGGCTGTGAGGTTAGATTTTCGAAGGTGAATCGAATTTATCCCTGCGATGAAGAAGTAAGATTGCTATGTAGTAGATGGATATCGAGCCGGATACGGGAGTAAATAGCTCCTTTTAAGCGATATCTTGCACGCCATTAGCCACCATCGAGTCCCACATATCAAAGGTCAGAAAGCCGGAGATATCAGTAATGGTAACGGGTCCAAAAGCAGGGCTGGTGTAGGGGATTGTCACAAGCATCGGGTGAGAGGGACGTTGCGAAATACGCCACGGCCTGTCTGCAAAAAAGGAAACCCTGTAGCATTGCCATAATGGTTGAATTTGCAGGGAAATTGGAAGTCCTCATAGAGGAAGAAAAAGCGCAGCGCCAAACGGAAGCACAAGAGACCCACTGGGTCTGATATCGCTTTAGCTTCCACTCCCAAATGTAAGTACTGATCATAGTCGTTCATGGGCGAGTATCACGGGTAAATGCTTTCTCGTTCACTTGCAAAACCCTGAAAACCGCAAGTCGATCATGTCCCAACCACGACCCCCAAAAGAAGCCTCACCATCACCCTAACAATGTATCCAACGCGGAAAAAAGCACTTCCTGACTTCAGAAGCTCGCAATCGTCTCCATAAAGCGACATCACAGCATGCTTTGTTCGACGCATTGAGGGGTAAGCTGTGAACAACGAGGAGTTTTGTGCAACTTTCAATAGTCGAGGTGGCCGGTCCTATGATCTTTGTAGACTCTCCTTTTATTCCGTGGTTTGCAATCCATCTTATATCAAGTTACTACTTATGGCTTTTGAGAGTCCATGAGGAAGCAGGAGTATGGGTTTAGAAAGCTCCTGCTAGCTTGGGTTGAGAAAAGTTCCAAGTTTTGAAATCTGATGTCATTTGATTCGATCAAGGACTTGAAGGATCGATTTAGTCGCGAAGGAAGCAAGTTTACAGCATTTATCATCATCCAAGATGTGGGTCAGGAACTCTTCTTGGTATTCTCGACCTGCAATCACATAATAGCTCACTTCCGCTTCATGAACTGGAGACTTTCGAGTACAGGTCCTCAAGGCTAAGTCACGAGCGACGGCTCGAGAGGCATTCATAATATCTTTATTGGAAGTGAAGATCAAGCGGAACTCTGGCCCGTCGGCATGGCGTTCAAGGCTACCATCGAATCCCCCGTCCGTCTGGCTAGGCGATCGATCGCGTTCGGATTGAAGCCAGCTACGACATCTTCAATTTCGATTGGGATCTATGCGCGGCAATCGGGTTGGGTCCAGCCCATCATCCAACGTCTTTCCTCATCATCATTCATTGATCATGGGAAGCGTAGTGTACCTTGTTCTGCATCTAACTCAAGATGGTTCCACACCGCCCCCCTTAGGTCACAGTCTTTGGGTAAAATCGAATTGAAAAGGATGCCCATCGTCACCCACAGTCGTAACTCGCCATCTCAAAGCAACGTCTACAATCAAACCGATAACTTTGATTCAAGTGCTATACCGAGCTCCAGACCAACGATATGGAAGCCCTTTATGTTTTGTGCAGGCTTAACAATACTCGGTTTTGGTACTGCTGTCTACATGACGAACAAAGACACGTCATCTAAAATCGACTACGTTTTCAAGAACCAGACTACCTTCCCAATGTGGTTTTCGAAAGTGTTCTCTACTCTGCCCGACTCCGCTGAACCTAGTGATATGCAGCTTCAGCAGTTAAGAAAGCTAGAGAAGCTGAACTTTATCAAAAGTTCCGGTTTGAACCATATCATACCCAATCACATCTTAACCTGGTATATCAACCTTAGCGAGGGAAAACAAATTTGCCTTGTCTTGGCACTCGCCAATCTACCAATCTTTTTACTGTGGCAGCTTCCTCGCATGACTAGCTACATGACTTCAAATTTCACCCATAATCCTTTATCTGGTAAAAGTCACACAATCCTTACCTCCGTGTTCAGTCAAGCAGTTGAGTATCTTTTCCTCTTCTTATCGAGATGAACCATATGCATCTTGATTTTTCCAAGTTTGAGCTTTGCTAACTTTCCCTTAATATGTGTTTATCAGAGTGCCTTACATTTTGGCTTCAATATGATGGCCCTATATAGTATTGGATCAACGGCGCACGATTCTCTTACTCATCGCTTCAGAGCGTCTAGGGACTATGACCCCGTTCGAATACCCGAGTCCACGCCTACATATCACTTTTTAGCATTTTACTTATTTGGTTGGTCATTTTTTGCAGCTGTTGTAGCTGCATAGTCAGGATGAATGATTCACTGACATTAGGGTATAACATCTTCGTGTTGTTCTATAGCTGGCCTTTTTGCCGGGTTCGCAAGTCATGCCTTTTCCTTGGTAGTGCGAGCCCCCAGACTGTTGAGATGGCGACAAGGAACTTCAAACACCACCGTTGTTCCAACTCCTATTTTACCGAGCTTGGGAGCGTCCGGCGCCATCTATGGCTGTCTTAGTAAGCTCAAAATCAACTTTTGGAACTAGATAGGTTTAAAAGCGATACTTGAGTGGACACTGAGATCTACCATTTGACTCCGAAGCCATGACAGCTCTGGCATTTCCTGATGCACAGGTATCTTTGATCTTCTTGCCATGGATACCCATAAATATAGGAGGGGCTGTTACAGGCGCAGTAAGTCAACCTATACTTCAAATCTTTTTCATACGTGCTCCTTGATACAGATTGGTTGCTTGATGTAATTCAGTGACTTATTTATGACTTCTCCATTGTTTTTAGGTTTTGTTTGATCTAATGGGGGTGATTAGGAACTGGAAGTTCTTCGATCACGCTGCACATCTTGGTGGGGCATTTGCAGGTGTACTTTGGCACCTGGTGATTGCCAAATGGTTTGATGTGGCCAGGCTGAAATTTTGGTCACCAGAGAAGAACAGTCATGAGAAAGACTGAGTATACTCATAATGAGGTTCCTGCACATAATATTCAGTAGAGGAATTCACATCCAAAAAGTAAATGCAGAGAGATATTGACATACTCATTGTGATTATTTCCCCACTCATGATCATTTCATTTGACCAAGACCATTTGCTTGATATTATCTCAACAGGTCTCTTCAAATAGATCACTCTTCTAGAGCACTGGTCAAATTTGCATCTTACTTGTTTGACATACCCAGAACCCCCAGAATGTTATTTATGATGTTGACTTTTGTGTGGAGTAACAAGTTCATCACAAGACAATGCATATGCAAAAAACCAGTCTGCTTTAGCCTCTACTAATTTGCATCATTCCTATGCTCAGGCATCATAAGAGCCTTAAAGCACCAACTGTGGGTGTGGTAAACACATGATTTATTCTGACTTTATGATTAAATTACAAGCAGATCCACTATGGACCAGTTGTTGACCTGCAATCCCTACAGCTGTGTCAAACCATGCATCAGGCTTGGCTGAATTTACACAGCCTTGAGGCATTATTGTAGCACTTGGTACACCAAATTTTTAACAGCCATCCATCCAGCTCTGCACTCAACAAATTGACTTAACAACTTCCCCCTGATCTCAGAACACTGGTATATCAACAGCAGCTCCCTTCTAAGAGCTTGCTAAACATGTCAAGCATGATTTTCTTGAAAGAAATCTCACATTATTGATTGGACTGACATTGAGAAATAGATCACTTTTGGATTATCTGAAATCAAGACAAAAGTCCAGTTTGTGGAGGGTGGGTGAAATACATGTTTTGTAGCCAGCACCGGCAATCTGGTGGTTACCCTAGTCAGGAAACATCCAATTGGGGGTTCTCTGATGCGGTTGAACAATCATCTCATCAGTTGGGAAGGGGTCAGGCAAGCCAAAATCATCCATAAAGGTATTGAGGCTCATATTGAGTGTGAAAGAGGCCTTGGTGCAGCTCAAGTTTGGCACACCTTCTCTTCCCTCCTTGTACCAAAACCATGTCATGCGTTATACAACATCCAATACAGCTCAACTTCCAACCAGCCACAAGCCAGACCTTTATGAATTTTATAATGGCTGACCTCAAAAAGACCTCACTGTCAACACCTTGGATTGCAAAATTGGAGGTGTCCTTGGTTCTCAGTCCTTGTACAAATTAATTATGAGATCCAGACTCTTAACTGTTTGAGAAGTCTTCAATAACAGCCAAAATAAGTGATGATGGAAAATCAGGTGAACAGTGGCTCTTTATTGCAGCCTGCATGCACAGATCTGGCAAGCTCTTAAGTCAAGGTGTACAAGAAGGGGGGTGCAATGGTGCAGCACCTGTATTGCTGTTGAGAGTGCATATCAAAGCAATAAGGCATAAAAACAATCATTCAAGATATTTGCTGCAGTAAGTGACAAGGAACTTGAAGGATGTAAGCTGACTTGGGCTCAGGTGTACTCTTCTTGCATGGATTCATCACATACTTAAAGGTCCCTGCTGGTTCACCATTCTCAAAGACTAGTGTAAATTTGTGCAAATTGCCTTGCCCCAATTAAAAGAGTTGCTGTGGAGATTGGAAATAAGAGAACCAGTTTAACACTGATCATGTGATTTCAAAGATGGTTGGCACAATCAGTAGTCATGATTGCAAAGAACTGAAGAAAGTTAAGACTCCTAACTAGGATTTCTTTATAAAATATGGCAAGCATGCTTAGCCTTGGCTCTGAACCCCACACACAAATAGAAGACAAACCTATTAAAGTTGTAAATAAAAGAGAATGTGTTGGTGGACAACCAATACACCGACTTGACCCCAGAACTGATGATTTCACTTCTTATTCAACAAAGCATTTAACCTTTATAACAGCCAGCAAACAGCCTTAGTGATGTCTCAGCTCTAATTCCAGACACAGATAGAAGACATTAAGGTGGAAAATAAAAGGTAACAAGTTGGGGAAAATCAATCTAGGCCACAATAATTGTAAGCAAGACATCAATAACTCAGTCTCCAGATTTTGAGAATGATTGAGAAAAAACCACTCACACACTAACTCAACCTTGGTGGACTGACAATGAAAAGTGGTGTGTGTGTGGGGTGGTACATATTTGAATGTGATACATTTATGAGAGATTGGAATAGGTTTGAATTAGTGTATTTTTCAATAATGTAAGTAATTAGAATGTTGTTTGTTGTGTTTAAATTGTAATTAGCAAAGTATTATTCTAACAATGACAAGTTCTGGTTCAAAGAAAAAGGCAAAACAATGAATAAAGATTGCAGACCCTTACCCCAAAACCTTAGTTTCAATACATGTGCTACAAGTTTGGTGGGTTGTAAGCAAAACATTTTCAGCTGTGCCAGTGCCACCCTCACTTATATACATAAATTATACATGCTACTACTCTATCCATAGTTTGGAGATGTGACTTTGTTGCACTTCTATCACCACACATCACCATGTCTGTGTAGGCTTTGCTAGTTGACAAGCGCACACCAACTCCCTTTGAGGCACAAAGGGAAGTCGTGCGCGCTCGTCGACGAGCAAACACTACCCGGACACGGTGCATACAACCACCTCACTTCTTTTCTCAACAACATGGATATTCAAGTTTTATTTCTGCATCTTTGAATTCATCAAGTCCAGGTAGTTGTGCAGTCAATATTGGGAGGTGAAAGCTGGTAATCCCCACCAGTTTGGAAACCAAGAGATGTGACACAGGCAGTCACAGAGAAATGGGGGAATGGGAAAGACCAACACCACACCAATGGCACCTGAGATTGTTGCGGACAAAAATGACTTAGAAAGGACCAATGGTATTTAAGTTTTTTTTTGCACTTGACAATTTTTATCATTCTTGGTCTGAGGTCTGAAAATGGTATCTGCTGGATACACAGGGGAAATGGAGGTTGAACCAGGATGTGAGATTCTCTCAGACCCCAAGCTGTTCCTCAGGTTTTGTGGGTAATCCCTGAGTATACAGTTGCCGCTCAATATAAACACACATTGAGTAAGCATATTTTGCTATAGGAATCAAATTTTGGTGAAACAAAAATGCAAATATGCAGTAAGCTCCTTTTGAAATGATGCATTGCGCTTTGTAAGCATCCAATTTGGTGCATTTTAGTGATGCTTATAGCAGGCGGCAACTGTACATGCAGTACACACAACACTCATACCTTGCCCCCATTCTCACCTTAAAAAATGAATGTAATCAAGCACTACATCCACATATTCTTTGTGGTCCTTGAACTCTCTCTCACACTAGCATAAGAGTCCAATTACAAAATCACAAGACTTTATTTCATTTCCACTTTTTTCCCTTCATGATCAACAAGAAAAAAAATTCAAAAGCTATGTGCAGTATAATCAGGGTTTTGTCTTTTTTCGGCGGTGAGGGTGAGGGTGAGGGTGGCAGTGAAGAATGGTGAGTTTGGTTAGCAAGGAGAGGAGAGGGGTTGAAAGATTGACAGAAAAACAAGTTATTGATATCAAGCCTAGAGAAGAATCAATAGGAGACCAAAGGTGAGCATCTCCACTACTAAGTTAACCTCTATCTGACAAACTTGTATAACACCAACAATAACAAAAAAGTACGCTATAAAAGGTTAACGCATCTTGAAAGAGTGTAGGTTGTTGAGGTGTACGGAGTTGGCTGAGGAGAAAACAATTGAAAACATGGCCATTGACCCGTTCCACATTAGCCACGACGTGAAATGGGAAAAACAGCCAATTGAGTTCGTTATCCCACATCACGACAGATATGCTACAGCGCCAAACTGGGCAGGATATTTGAAGATGGATCATGAATGAAGAAACCCATCTGACGCCTGGATTGAGTGTTCATATCTGTACAGGCTAGAGTTGAATTTTGAAATGAGAGTACCGTGTGAGGTCGAAGAACAAGGGGGAAACTAGGATGGTGCGGTGAAGATGGATAGCGATAAGTCGGTGTTGGATTGTGAGATTGAGTGTAGTTTAGATCGACTCGCCCCGGTAAATAGCAATTGCAAGCGTGATCGCCAATACAATCCGGACATAGGTTTTGATAGTAAACAGACATGAAGAAGACCCATAGGGAAAGATAGGGCAGTGGGTTACGAGAGGTAGTCGTTGTAAATGGTGGAATCGGTCAAGGAACTAGTTCATGAGATAGTGGGTTTTGATCTTGATCCTCTTCACACACAATGTTGTACAGTTGACAGCAAGATCTTGAAGTTTGAGGTTTGAGGGGGTTTGAAGATTTGAACAAAAGCAGTAAGGATGCCGACATTTCAGATAGTAAAGTATGACGGTGTAATAAGATTTGAGGCGACAAAACAAAACGTCGCAGGCAGATTTGAGCCAGAAAGAAACAAAAAGATGAAAATAAATTCTAGAATCTGGTGCCGAACTGAAGATGAAATTTACTGAACGCCATGAAAAACCCAATTTGATAGTGGTGTGAAGAATTGAAAGATGGACAGATCGAAGGGGATAGGAGGCGTAAGAAAGCGCGTAGTTACGAGAGCGCGGTAGATGAGGATGGCGAGACTCGAATGCAACAAAAACAAATGACGACACAAAGATGGCGAAGGTTGTAGTGATGATAGTCGGCCTATTTGGAAGAGAGGTTACAAAGGTGTTGAGGCAAAAAAAAAGTGGGTGTATGTGCGTGTCGATGGAGGTTCGGAGTATCAGGGGAGACGTCGCTCATAAATCGTGTCGTAACTAATCGCTTTCTGAATCGTAACAATCGTTGTTATAACCTTCCACCCTCCTGTACCGGCCTCAAATTGGTGTCACGGACAGCTAGGCAACAGGCGTGGCACCACTGGGATGCCTATGCCCACTACCACTACCGCGACCTCGATGACCACCTCCACCGCCTCGTCCCACTTTATGGTGATTATTTCGATTGTGCGAGGGTGGTAGGCCACTAGCATACTCTGTTGGTGTTGCATGGGACAAAGAATCAATCGGGGCTGCTTTCTGAAAAGTCAGTTGTTGAGGGGGTAATGTAGGCTTGTCATGAGGCTGGGAGGGGTTTGAGCTCGGCTGGGACTGATTGGCTTGGCGATTGTTGCGAGAATCTTGGGGGCCTCGATTGTTGGTATTGGCATTGGCATGTTGAGCAGCGTTTGTGGAGGATGCTGATTGCTGTTGACGCTTCGATGTAGGAGCAGGAGTGTCCTCAATACCAGGTGCGACATATAGAGCTTTATCAATCACCGCGGGTATAGGTTGTATTTCAGTTCCGAGTTCTTGTTCGATACGGTAAAGATCAAATCGGTTTTCATAGGTGATCTGTCGGGTTGAGTGACAGGCGTCGTTAGAATGCTGCATGATGTATGAGCAACGTAAAAAAAGCATCTCACAAGATTGATAGCTATACCACGATGTCCAAATCTACCTGACCTACCAATTCGATGTAGATAGGTCTCGGCATTCTTCGGAAAATCGAAGTTGATGACGACATTTACAGCCTGAATATCTATTCCTCTTGTGAGGAGATCTAGATGATGTAAAACTTTCAGTTAAGGGTACCTGGGCAAATCTGAATGAATAGGGAATAAACCACTTACCAGAACATACGAGATTACGGCAAACCCCATTTCTGAAATCGTGAAACACCCGATTTCGGTGTTGTTGCAACATTTTGGCATGAGAATAAAAACAAGAATAACCTATATCTGTGATTTTGCGAGCAAGAAGTTCAACACGATTGGTTGAATTGCAAAAAATGATGGCTTGATTGATTTGCAGCTGTCCGTATAGCATAAGGTCAGAATCGGCGAGACATTTGAGTAAACACCACGCCAGATGACTCACTTTTGAGAATAAAGTATTTAGACAATGAACTTTCTGTCGTTCTTCCAAAAAGGCATAATATTGTGTTACACCCTGGAGAGTCAACTCCTCCATCAAGTTGATTTCATAGGGCTTCACCATATGCTTATCCTGAGGTTTCAGATTCAAAGAACGGGTCAGCTATCCTGTAATTGGATGATAAGGGAGAAAAATTACATGTCTTACTTTGAAATCTTTGACTATCATAGGGAAAGTAGCGGAGAAGAGCATGACCTGCCTCTCTTTGTGTAAAAACGACAGAAGTTGTTCAATGACGACTGTGAATTCGGGACTTAGTAGCTTGTCTGCCTCATCCATTACAAAAGTCTTGCATTGGCTGAGGTCTGCAACTCCTTTTCCGGCCAAATCGAGTATCCTTCCAGGAGTTCCCACTACAATATGGACAGTCTCCTGAAGACGCAAGATGTCGTCTTTTAGTGTGGTTCCTCCGGTTGTGACCATGATCTGGATACCAGTGTGTTTTCCGAGCGTTTTACAGACTTGAGACGTTTGGAGTGCGAGTTCACGGGTGGGCACAAGAATGAGGGCTTGTATACGGTTCAACTTGACATTAGTCTTTTCGAGAGAAGGGATAACAAAAGCTCCGGTCTACATAGCAGAGGTGTAAGTGCTGAGAGAACAAGAGGGATGAAAAGAGTGGAGCTTACTTTGCCGGTTCCATTCTATGGATGATGATAAAAGCCGTCAGCGTTGGTAAGATAACCCAGCAAAAGAATCACGACTGGCTTACTTTAGCACGAGCAAGGATATCCCTACCTGCAAGGGCGATGGGAATAGCTTCTTCTTGGATGGGCGACGGTCGTTCAAATCCAGCCTCGAAGATTCCCATTCTAGGATGTTGATGTCAAGAGAATTGGATTATTAGCCCAAGACTAAAGGTTAGGTCCGTTACGGACAAGAGATCGGAGACAAATGAGAAGTAAATGAGAGCTTACAGCAAATCGCGACGAAGATACAGGTCTTCGAATTCGACACCTTTAGTCTTGGTGACATCCTGGTAAAGAAATGAAGAGTCAATATCACGATTTCAGAGGAGATCTCTAAAAAGGAAATTGGCTGACCTCTGTTTGAGGACGTAGATCTTTTTGAGGTAGATTGAGTTTCGACTTCCAGTCTTGATCGCCCCTGCATGAAAGCGTATGATCCACGTTAGAAAAAGGTAGGCAAGTGATCAAGACGAGGAAGAAGAAAAGACTTACGGATGAGGATTTGTTGAAGTAGCCATTGAGAAGAGAAGAGAGAGAGAAGAAAGTTGAATGGAAGGAGATGAAGGGGAAGAAGATAGATAAAATGAAAGGTGTTTAAAGCCCAATGGATATTAGAGATAGAGCTAGAGTAAGATGATCGAGATAAGAAAGTGGACTCGAATCAAGATGGGAATGAATGATCTTGAAGGTGAATTTGAGTGGATAAGTGTAGACTGATGAAGTTGAAGAGTCGAGTTAGAGTTGAATGACCGATCAAACACTTCAAGAGATTAACTGATTGAGTTGATTGAATTGATTGAATCTGGTTCAGGAGGATGATGATCAGATCTAGGAAAAGGAGAAGATAGTTGATGATGAGTTCAATTCAATCCAATGATGAGAATCGAGATGATGATTTGATGAAGAATGGTAAGGTAAACAGAAGGTTTCTAAGACTAGTGTTTGATTGGTTTTTGATGTAGAGTGTGTGTGTGTGTGTTTTAAAAGGTTTGATGGATGGTTGGTTGTGAATGAGTAGATTGGTTTTGAAGTGATTTGTGTAAAGTTGATTAGATTGGATTTGGATGGTCAACTTGGAATTCAATCAGAATAGGTAATGGTAAACTCACTCGATTCCCTCTTTTAAGCCTAAACAGATCAACACTTTAAGTCAAAACTCATTAGATCTTGTATTGGTTGTTTACTCACTTAATTTAGAGTTAAGCAGCTTAGACTAAGTCTATCTGACAGAGCTAAAACAGGTTTAATGTGGATTTAAATCGCTATGTACATAGACAGTTTTGGAATTAGATTGTTTTTGATGGGTGATATGTACATTTAAAGCATGTCACGCAGCCAATCCGTGAAGCCAACTGACTGAAACGAGTGACATCCGTACAGTGAATATGTAGAACTCGATTGACCGAGTTTCACAAATTGACCATGCACAAATATGAAAAGCGTCGTCAGCCTTACCAAGTGAATTGCACAAAGATTTCCTAATGCGACTTTCTCACATGACTGCTCTACACTTCGAATCTGATCTTGATCGTATGATATGCAACCCCGATCATGGACAATAGCAAAGAGGAAAAAAAACCTCAATTCATATGCATTGCTGACGTGGAGGAGGGGGTTAAAGTTCTATGTAACACGTCAGGGACTTGGTTGCCAATTTCTTCTAGTCAACAAAAGCAAGCTCTTCATGATCGAAGGGAAAATATATTTACAACACTTGAAGAGCTTCTACACCGCTTTGGGAGAATTCCATTAGGTGAAGGGATGGTCCCTGATACTTACCAAGAAAAAAACCGTTCATCATATGTTGATTAGAAGTTTGAATGAAGGCTTTGGAAAAGTTTGAGCTTCTGTGTTCTGCTCACAAGCTTTGGGGCGAAAGTGGGCAGGAAGTAGCTTGAGGCATCCATTACAACATGCATACTAGGAAGATGCGAAGTCTTTTATAGACGAGCATCGTACACTGAGAATTGAATGAGGAAACCACGAGATGGTGGTACAACGAGAGGTGATCTATGATCGCCATACAATATGGGGCAAGTTGCAACACGTTGACAGGTGCGATATCGCGCCGGCATGCTCACAAATGAGCTCGCGTGGTGATCGCGAAGAGATGTCTTTTGTGTCCTGGCTGTCACAAATATAGCAAGCAAGAAGACCACGCCTCGTTCAGGCCTTGGCAGGGGCCTGAGCTCTGGCCTATGTGTTGAAGGACTTAAACCTGCTTGCACTTTCTCCCTCTTTCTCCTCTTTCTTTGCCTTCACAACATTTGGGCTTGATTTTTTTCCTTTCTTCATAATTTACCATCAACATCTTTTCTGTCTAATCTCAATCACTTTCATTCATGTTCATTCACCCGTTTGAATGAATCTTCCAAGTTAGAGGGCCAATACATTTAGAGGAATGATTCAATTTAGAGGGCCAATCTCATTTGGAGGAATGATCCAATTTAGAGGAATATCAATCAGACTGTTGAGAATATACAACAGAAGCTTGTGACCATGTACAGCAAGACATCAATTGCTGGTGAGGAAACTATCGGGATGATCAACCCAAGAGACCCTACCATGGCAATGCATCTAGGCCACTATGCATTTGGCTTATGCGCAAATGCTATTGTAAGTCTCTCCTTTTTCTATATTTTTCTCAGAATAATATTTCAAAGAATCAATTTATTGATTTTGTTGTGGCTACTTTGACATGGGCAAATAAGGTTCTGGGAGTCTCAAAGTTGGGTCCTCCCAAAGGACCTGACTTTGTGTGGGAGACAATCTACCCTAAAGGGCATGGTCAAGGATTTACTGGGTGTGACCAAAGACTGAGATTGACTCTTAGCCTCTTCTTGAGTCACAGTTTACACTGATCAAAACTGCAAGAACCTGGTTCAATCACTGTGTCAATTCCTCACAAAATGAGTTATTCATATTCTCAATGGAATATTAACAATGATTTAGGTCTTGTTCTTTTTTACACTTTTTTCATGTTTTACACTTTTCCATTGATTTAAGATAGAACATTTTTACTCAATGAGATTATTCAAAAAATGTAGTAGAACTTGGTTTTGAAATTTCTTTACAATAAGAAGACTTTTGATTTTTTTGAAACATTGAATAATGTCATACAAATTTAAAAGACCCTTTGACTCCATCTTCTGTATCAACAAGTTCTGCAAAGCTTAGTCAGAAAAGTACTCCATGCTACATCACTCATTTCTTTCTCCATGCACTTAAAGCAATTGATAGTATAAGAAACAGGACCCTCCCAACAAAATTTATCCTTGAATACCTTGAAGACTCACTCAATTGGATTGAAGTCAGGTGAGTATGGTGGTAGATAGACCAATAGAACTTGCAGCTGCATACATAGAGCTTTCACTGATCCATGGCAATGGATTGGCACATTAGCCATGACTAAGACCATATTGCAATTTGGGGACGGTGCCATGACAGGAATCTGAAGATGTCATATTTTCAGCTTCTTGTATTAGATCAGTTCATGATCATGGTCTGAAAAGCAAGAGAAACAACATACCAAAACATGTTTTAGGAAGGCTTAAATTTTGTGTTGACAATATTTGTGGTTGGTAATTTGTTATTAACAAAGGGAAACGGGATAATTCAGACTTTACAACATGTAACTTTTATACTGATGCCATCGGATATCTTACAGGTCATTTTGATTTTTGACAAATGATGTCATCCAGTTTACAGCCGTTGTATTATCTACTGGCAGATTTTTGAAAAGTTGTGTTGTTGCCAGATTTAACTTTTGAAGTCAAAAACTCGAAAATTATGTCACTTTGAGAGTAACTCAATTGTTCATGTGCTAGATCTGACCAATGGGCAGTAAAGTTATCAGTCTCAAAAGGGTTTTTTGGAGTTTTTGACCTCTACATTAAATCTGGCAACAACACAATGATCTAAAAATCTGCCAATAGATCTTACAACGGCTGTACCATCCAGTTTACCTGTGTCCGACATTATCCCATTGAGTTCACTATTGTCAGAAAAGTCATCACTTTTCTAGTTTTTTCTTTTTAGCCCACCCTCTGCTTCCCTTAGGTATTCTTTTATTGTTATATTTCTCATCTAAGATTTAAGAATCAGAGTATTATCTGCTGTATTCTTCTTTGAAAAAAAAATGTTTATCATTATTATGGTTTCTATTTTACATTTATTATCAAGGTTGTTTTTTTAAAAAAAAAAGCAGCAAATAAAAATCAGTTTCATTGTTATTATTTCCTTTTTGTCAAACTGTTGTTGGTTGTTTTTTATCAGTCTGAGCTATTGTTCCGCTACCACCCCGTAGGGGTTGTTTATTATGTTGAAGAATATTATTACCTGGGGCATTACACTGCAAATATAATGTGTTTCTCCGAGGTGAAAATGATTGAACTTAATGCACAAAATGATTAATAATGCAGATTTAATGCAGAAAAATGTAGATTTAATGTAGATTTAATGCACTTTTAATCATTTTTTGAATTGAATGTAATCATTTTTCACCACAGAGAAACACATTATATTTGCAGTGTTATGCCTTGGGATGTCACCCAAAACTCGTGCCACAATTTGTGGAATATTCTATTAAGTTTTCTAGTAAGTTTTACTTATCCACGTTTCCCATTGTTCAGTGATTGCCAGCTTGGTGCTGTTTCAAAGCTTCTGGTATCTTGCCTTGCTTGGACCTAATGTTGTGTTGCAAATACTGTGCTCTTAGGCCGCACTCATCTGGAGAAAGATTAAAATTCTGCTCAGTCTGAAGATTTGTTGATCAAAGAGAAAGAAGGAAAAAGTATTGACTTACCAAGGAAAATAAGACACTTGGGTGGCAGACAACATATTTGGGAAGAATAAGCTGTCTGAAGTGCTGGTGACTGATTGAAATCCACAGCAGAGACTTTGTGAATGGCAAGGAAGAGAAATCCCTGAATTTGCCCAGAAGTTGAATGCATAGTGGCCTAGATGCTTTGCCATGGATTGGGAGGGTCTCTTGGGTTGATCATCCCCATAGTTTCCTTACAAGCAATTGATGTCTTTCTGTACATGTTCACAAGCTTCTGTCATATATTCTCAACAGTTGGATTGACATCAATGGCCTATTTTTAAGATTGATTAGTATCAAACAGTTGCCCAGTTCTGACAGTCAACAGCAAACAGGATTTCATATCTTGATTGAGAGATATGCTTATATTCATATCTTTATTTCAGCGGTATTTCAGCTGTATCACTTCAAAATTTAATCATTGAAATTCCATTTGGTCAAGCTAAACTGGAATGACTGTATTTTACACTATCCTTAAACAGGAGGATCAGATCATGTGCCTCTGGTAAAATCCTGAAGAAGATATGTACAGCTGTTCAAGGCTAGTCTCAACCAAAGCCGCTCTGCAAAAGCAAAATTTGATTACACAACATAACTTGTTTCACCCCTAGTGATGAATGACATGTAATGACTCATTTTTGGGGGTTTTAGAGGTTCCTTAAGCTGATAGTGATTTGCTGAGCCAATTGGGTGGGTGGATCTTTTTTGACACCTCACATTTTGGACCTGGGGTACCTAAGAGCCTAAGTACACTTATTTAATTACTCAATTAGGTACCTATGAGCTTACGGTGACTTAATTAGGTCCCTGCATAAGTACGGCAGCACAGGGCAGCACTCAACAATTTATTTATTTTGCTGGATCCATAACAATAAACAACTAATGAATAAGGATCTTAAGTGGGGCACATGCTGTTTGATCTTCACAAAAGAAAGTTGATCAAACAAGGGAAAAGATATCCCAAGGGTTTAATTGAGAATCAATTGTCACTCCAGCCTGGCTGGAAAGTTCAATGCAATCGGTGAATCTTTTCCTTTGCCAATTTTTTTGCTTGGGCATCAGTGAAGCCTTGTCTTTAGAAGGATTGATATGTCAGTATTGGTTCAAATATACAAGAAAAGAAGTGTGGTGAGCAATAGAACTGAAATACTGTGTTGTTTGATTGGTTGTTTTTCTATTGACCAATGAGAAGGTGGAGTGGGCCAGGACTGTGTTCTGATGTATCTAATGCAGGATTGTGAGCCACATCAGATGAATTTTGCTCATGAGATTGTGTCTGAAATGTGTCTGATAAGACAGAGCGGATAAAACCATGGTTGAGACTAGCCTTGAACATGTACCAATGACATCATGATAGGTTCTTGTCATGAGTCAGAAGCTGGTATCACTCTAAGATTTCAATGTCTTAGACTCAACCTTGGTCTGTGCAGTCTACACAGAGTCCAGCGCACACTTTTGTGAGCACCACCAACAAATCTACCTCGGATTGAAAACCCTGGGTATCCTCGGATGCCAAACCTTGGACAGAAGCTTCCCAATGCTTTGATCCAAGGTAATATTCAGCGCAAGAGAATACCTCGGATAGGAACCTCAGACAAGGTCTGTCCATGGATTTGCCTCCAATGATGCCTCAGATCTCTCAACCCAAGGCATCTACATATGTTGGCAGTGGAGAGTTCTCATCACAGAAACAATCTCCTATTTTGCAATATCAAGGTATAAGAGTAATTGCATGGAGCAGTGATCAAAACAGAACCACTTGAAATCTTATACAACAATCACAATCATCAATCTCAGATTGTGGAAAAAAGAAACATGCACCCACAAGAATAGAAATCAAGCTATTCATGAATCTCTTCCATCCTATCAAGAAAAGAAAAGTAAGATAATCTGAACTTAATCAAGACAAACAAAAACAGATAGAATGATTATTATTATAAAGATAAAGATAATTTTGGTCTAGAGAAAGAGCTAATCGAATGAGGCCCATGGAAAGGGATTTCAAGAGAAACCCAACAAATCATTTTAAACAAACAACAAGCAAACAGAATGATCATAAAGATCTCAAACATATGCAGATAAAAAACGATTTAAAGGAAACCAAGACGCAATGGTAAGGTGATGAAAAAGTTTTGAGATCTATGTCTTACTACAATCTGAGATGCGAGAAAAATTATTCAAACCAAGCCAGCATTTACTCGACTCATGAAGCCGGCTACGCGATTTAAATCAAGATCAGGCCCATCACTTTCCATAGCTACTATCAGTTGATTCAGAACCTCAATGTCAATCTTGCTGAGCCCTCCCTGCTCCAGATTAGGTTCCCCTGCAGAAGGCAAGGCATTTGAAGGGTCGGCGCTGTTAGTTTCTGTTGAAAGTTGTCGAAGGTGGTTCATAGCAGGCTGGATGAGCTGCCGAGGGGTTTTTGCAAATGACGACGACTGCTGAGAACCGGGCAAATACTGACATCCGATAAAAGTGCTGATGATTTTTAGATACTTGGCTTCCTGCGCCAGACTACAGCCTTTCATCAATCTGATTCGCTCCTGAAGTAATCCCAAGACACGCTGGTACCAGTTTTCCATTCTTCTCAAATAGACTAAACCAGTGGGGTTATTGACGGTGGGCATTTCTGGGTCTGGATCGAGTTGAAGGCCAATCTGATCCGACGACAGACTTACTAAGGTCGAACCGATACCCTTGTATTCAAAAGCTTTTCCCGCCCGTGCAGGCGAGCCATCGACCTCTGACCGACCTGTCCAATCAAACTGATCTTCTTCTTCAATCTTCTTTCGTAGTTTCTTGAGCCTCAGCTCAACCAAGTTAAGTCCGTCGAGCTCTTGCTTAGCTGCTTCTAGAAGCCTTCGTTGCTCTGTCAGCTCATGACTAGAAGTTTTCAGTTTACCAAGCACACGGTCCAATGCTGTGGAATGAAGCTGGATCTCGTCATCAAACCCGGAGGTAAGCGTGTTGATAAGGGTCGTCATCGACTCAATTATCTCATTGGTTGTGCGCGGACGCTCCGGGCGGCTGTCATGCTCAGGCATAGCTGAGGGTTGATTGTTTTCTAGGACAGGCTGTGATGACGAGTCCTACAGAAATTCATAGTCGAAGAGAACGCCGTTAGTCACATGAGAATATGGAGTGTTTACGGCCACCACACTAGATAGATGAACAGAGTATATCACAGATTTCGGACACCAGTAAAAAAACTACTCAACCCCTATGCAGACTCCAAAATCTGCCGGACCCAGTCCCAATTTGTTTGATATAGTCTTGGAAGCACCGACATCCAGAAGCATCTGAACGAGATGCTTGTTACCAACACGTGCAGCAATGTTGAGAGCTGTGTCTCCATTGTAATCAATTGCATCAATAAACTCCTTCTCGAACCGACCCTCATGTCGTTTTACAATCCACTCGCAAATGCATTCCATATAATACCGAGCGCTCTCGACACGATCCTTGATGCCTGCCGTTAAACAAATGTGATGTAGGACAGTGCGTTTCTGGTGATCAGTGGTGCATAGGGACGGGTACAAGATTTGTAAAAGTTGATCAAAACAGCTGTGATCGAAGTTGGTTGTCACCAGTGTTGCACGTATCAACGGGGTCTCGCCTACATTGTTGCCTCGAAACACATCTGCACCAGACTTGATGAATTCCCGGACGAGACTGATTCTAGCTAGCGCTGAAGCCCAGTGAAGGGCGGTATGGGCGCACTCATCAAGTGGCATGTTGATATCCAAGTCAGGATCATCAAGAGCCTGGCCCAAAGCACCATGAGAGTCACCATCTGTTTGCCCAGGGGGGAGCCGAGATTCCGCTTCGCATGGATTTGCAAAAAGAGAAAGCACTGCGCGAACTTGTTGATCATGTTTTGAACTCGTAGGGTCATCAATGCTGAGTGATGCAGCAGATGCGCAGGGCCTTAACATAGGAAGTGGAGTTGATGGTATGGCAGGGGGACTAGGGACTGTTTGATGGAGTGGCGCGGGACCAGGTATCGGATGAGTTCGTGGCAACAGTGAGGATACGGAAGATTCGAACAGCTGGTTCGGATCCTGGACACCGTTTGTAGTGCGATCGCTGGCATTAGAGTGGTGTGAGGGTGTATTGAAACGGCTACGCTTGCTGGGACCAACTCCTGATTGATGTTCCTCTGCTGTCCCATGAGTAGAGATCGATAATCGTTCCCGCTTATATGCGTATTGGCTTTGAGGTGGATCATGGAACGGCTTGGAGGATGTCGGACCACTTGTACCATTGCTACTTGCGGCGGAATTCGGGGGCAACGATTGACCAGTCACAGATGTGATTGAATTGATTGTCCCAGTATCATTAGCACCCACTGACTCCGCTGGGCCTGGAAGGTAGTCAAACAATGGGGCTAGAACTTCAACCACCTCAAACTGTTTGGCCAATTCATATGCCCGATAAAACGGAATCCTGAGCGCGATCGGGCCCCGCAGTTTTTAGTGCAATTGCTTCATGGATAAAGTAAAAAACCATCACAGCAGATAAACTGACCACGTCCCCTGATATTTTCCATAACCTCCTTGCACCTTTTCGTGCTCTCTCATCGTGATATCTCGCTCCATGATCCTTGTTCTTTTAGATTTATCAAGTCCGGCCACCTTTAAAATTTGAGTTGCATTCATGTATGAGTCTGACCTTCTACGCATGACCCCAACCCCGCGGACCATCATCTCATAGACTGGGATGGAAGAATAAACCGCCATACTGTTGACATCCAAAGCCGTCAGATGTAGGTCAAACAGATTGATCAGTCTTCAGGATCTCTGGAAGTTTGGCGGAAAAATAAGCCTACTAGATTTCAGAATTGTTCTCCACATCTAGAAAGGTGGGAAATCAATTAGGTATCAATGTGTGAAGCAGCTTGACTTGGATCAGAGTGGAGCTCAAAAAAGGTAATCGACTAACTCGGGTTAGGAAATCGAGGAACGAGGTTGGTATGAGTTGAAGGCTCAGGAAGTTGAAGATCTGAATTGACGTTCATTATTTGATCGACGGAATCAGCAAGCAATAGGATATAAATTCAAGATGAGAGATGATGAGATGGTTAAAGGAAGATGGTAAACAGAGTTGAGTTCCATTGAAATCCAATTGACAGGTTTATTTTAACAATTCACGACAAATCAATTGGGGGATTGGATTGCTGGATTCTGCTGTGTCTCCTGATTTCTCTATAAGCATCATGTCGGCCTCCTTATCAGCTACAACTTCACTCTATTAGCATATTTATATCTGCACTCCTCGGCAACGGTGTCATTCATCCAATTCACATCATTCAATCGATTCTCTAGGTCGCACTCTTCCACATCACCACACAGCCTCTCAGTCTCCTTGATTCCACTGCTGTGCACTTTGCTTTATTCATTAACCCGCATATCAACTTCTTCATTTCTTCTTGCCGCATCATGTTCTTGTAACTGATTTAAATTTTCTTGTATGGCTATACATTGATTTTCGCACGTGTTGATCATTTTCCTACACGATCCATCACATGTTGGGTTATACGGTAAGGGGCGGGTGGAGTCCCTATCTAAATGTTTTGGAATCGCAGTAAAAATCAGAGCTTGTACCATTCAAAAAAGCCTACAATTATTTGCAGATTAATCTAGTTTTCAAACAGAATTGGGTTGTATATGTGGTCTTAGAAGCTCGTCCATTCAGAAGGCTCGTCCATTCAAAATACTCAGTGCCAACAGATTGCTTTGATTCACAGGTTGGGCTCAATTATCTTTTGCAGCAATTCGACCCACAGACGTAGGTTTACCAACCCATCAGCACTAGAGAGCAATTGTCAATGTTCATTCCTGGACTACTGGGAATCCAGCAAGAAATACCAAGACATACACTCAGCAAGACTATCTCACTGTGATTGAAAATGTATGCCAAGTTGAGCATGTAGAATCTTTACTGGAGGGGGTTACCTGCACAACACTCTTTGGCCATCATCTAGCTTATTTTGAACATGAGAAGAGTATGATGCAAAACTGCTGCAGTCAGTTTAAAGAGACCCACATAAGAAGATACATTGAGCGGCAAGGCCAGTCCGTTTGGCTGTATCAGCTCTTCTGGCCGGAAGCTATATTTACATCAGCTATCGCAATCGAATTCCTTGTCCCCGCACATGCGTTTTAATCTTTTTTTGACCGCAAAACTTCAAAGAGCCGTCTCACGCGACCCCGTTCAATCATCGCCCTTTAAAAACAAAGCATAAGTTCAGATCGATAACACCAGACCATCAACCAAGTCGCCACTCACGCAACTCCTGCACACGTCACAAAAGAAACGACCCCAATTATTAAATGTGCTCCTACAGCTGCCCATACCATCTGCCATCTCCCCTCTGGCTCCATCTTCACCCTAAACCCGCTCGAGCCGATCTCACTCCGCCTCACTAGCCAAGCTGAAATCAGGAAGACTAGTGAAACTACTTGATTTGGTAAGACCTCCGCCACTGAAAGTGCTTCGACTTTTCTACTAAACTGATATGATAACACAAATTTCCAACAATACCCAATTCGACAAGCCATATTGATACACGTGCAAAGTACCATACCTACCTCAGATCCGATATCTAACAAACTCATCAACCAGACCGATCCTCCAAATACTGCGCACCATACCACCATCATTTTACTCATCTTACCCAATTCTTTTTCATTCGCAACAGATTGCACAAATGCTTCTAAAACCCCATTTAACGCGAGTAATGGGAGCAAACCACAGTAAGCCCTCAAAATGTCCACTACCACCACCGATGCGCCTTTTCCTGAAGTTTCTAAATATGCCGAGTTTGGACCGAGGACAAGTAGTAATGCCAATTTAACAAACCACGGACCAAAGGAAATGAGCACCAGTCCGATGTAAGATTGAAAAAGTACAAGGGCGGTTAGTGTGGCGAATGCGTGTTGTTCTTTAGCTTCCTTCTCAGTGGCGATGGCAGTGGTTCCGAGCGTTTTCGAAAAATATAGACGAGAAGTCTCTTCAATTGGTTGAAAAACAATTCTAGCCACCAAAGAACCTGAAGTGGATGATTTATTGTTCACTATCCAGGTGTAAATAAAGGTTGAGAATAATGGGGAGCAAACTTACCGTAATTCAAAGCCAAAGCATAAGCACCCTGATGAGCAATCGGACAGATCCGACCGATCAACATCTTATCACCCTCTGTCAAGAATTGTTTCAAAACCGATTGTTGGGTCAATGCACGTATCAGTGTGAAGTTTGTTCTACCTAATAGACTGTCCTCGAGAGGTTCATGTGATTTGAGTTTTGTATTGCTATTGGAGCCAGATGTCTGTCTAGAGCAATTTGAAGCGAAAGAACATCAGCATCAATCCCGTGTATGTGAATGCATGTTACATGTAGGATGAATATCGGACGATCATCATAGAGAGTGCCTACGATTTGGTATCAGAGTCAATTTGACTCAACGACCACTTTGGACAAAAGGCAATCTGCTTTGTTGAGGCATTTTGTGTTTTATTTTGATTGCGACATAGTCCGATGGCAAGTGAAGCACCATAGCTCAGTTGACCGATCGAGAACCCCAACAAAGCCCAATCCTTCCCTGTTCGTGACCCAAATATGATTATAGACAACGTAGTGACCGTCTTCAATAGCACAGCCTTGCCTTCGACTTTGACTCGGTCCGAGGTTTGAGCGTTCAATAAGTGATAGAGATAAGCAGGCTCTGAGGTCAATTCGCAAAGGCTTGAAAGATAATAAATAAATAGTGAAAGCCTAAAATAAGCTTGAGCTGATGTAGATTCCCCCACGCTTAGAACGTAAATCGTAAACAGTACAGTCGAGAGGACGAATCCAGTTGGGAGAGGCACGAAGCAGCAATTGACGATTTGTTGGTATCGAGTGGAAAGATGAGAGTCGCGAAAAGTTGAGAATTCGAGTTGGAGTCTTGATAACGCCCCACGGACATTCTCTCGACTCAGAAAGAGTACAGTATTAAGAAGTACTTCGAGTTGGATCGAAGCAGTACCAAGAGCTTCCGGGGAGGTGAATCGAAGTAGAGCTTGATTCAAAGAGAAGGTGAGTAATCTAGATAAGAGTTGAAGTAAAACCAATGAAACACCAGTTCGGATGAAAGTTGAAGAAGAGCTTGACATCATCAAGTGCAACAACTGAAAATGTAGTCACATGAACACATCTCAAGTTTCATCATCAACCATGTCAACTCTGGTGTCCCCACCACCACAACTATCACTCCAGGACGCCTCTCAAGTCAGCTCCAAACGTCTCATCAAGCTTATCAGTTCTGGTCACTTATCCCGATGCAAAGCAATATGCCACCGAAAACACCTGTTTTACTGAAGGTTTTGCTAGTAGGACTCAAAGATTGATGATCAAATCATGACACCGCTGGTCGCCTCTATTCTCACGAGGGCTGTGCAAGTCACCTCAAACATATCACTTGAGTTGTGACCATGCTGACAATCAATCAATCAAGGTGCATATCGGCGACCATATAGCTTCTTCAGCTCTGGCCATCCGTTCAGCCAGATGTTGATACCTGGCCAAGAATTATCAACTTCAAATTACCACTGAGCTCCAACCTGTCCATAAGATCCAAAAAGCCATAACCGGTGAATTCTCCCATCACAAAGTACATGAACTGCCCTCAAAGGGCATGGCCCAAATATTCAAGAATAAATCAAGGGCTTCTCTGATGAATATTACCTGAGCATATCATGTATATACCAATTTGATGGCTTCTGTTGCATCTTGCAGGCTCAAAAGCTATAGCATGTAGTGATTGCTACAACTTTGACAGTTCCTTATCAAAGTTCTGTAGATCTTTGAAACAATTATTTTCTCTGATTCAGTAGCTACATTATTTTTGCATTTGATTTCAGTTATCTTTCATCATGTCTCTATAATTCTACAAATCAGATCAGTCCCTTCAGAGAAGGCAATAGTGGGAACATGAATTTACAAACTGCGCTCATTTGAATGGTCAAACATCAGCAACCACATTATGTAAGTCTAGATTCATGAATGCATCCAAGGCCTTGAGCAAAAATTGAACCTACTGGAGCAATATGAAGTCACCAGATCAGAATTCATCATACTTCCCATACTGTGTCTCTCAGTCTTGCTTGTTTTGAATCTGTATACCTATCAATGAACCAACTGTGAATTCTGATGTGATTTTTGAATGTAGATAATAATGCACTCTGACCCACAAAATCATTGGACCCACAGATTCAACTCTGATTGATTCTATGATCTCTATGTTCCACATACACCCAGAAATTGATGAGCATCTTTCCAAAGTGCACTGTAAGATATCTGCTTTAGTTAAAGAATGATTGGGTTAATAACTCAAGTGTCAATCGAGTTGTAAATGTTGAAATATGTGGTCAATGGCAATATAAGATATCGATAGATATCAACTGTCTTGGTGTCGACACAGATACTAAGAACTCCCTTTTAAGATCAATGCTTAACACAATATGCATATTTATTTCATGAGCTATCTTGTCCATACTCCATGCTCCAATTATGTACAGCATCATAGTACTTCTATATAGTTCATTGATGGAGATAATTCTACACCATGTCAATATCCTTGTAGAACCTTCACTGTGTCTGTATCCTTGTAGCAAGTTGACGTGCACACACCAAAGACTTTTGATACATACTTGAAAGATCCTTTAAAGAGGTCTCCAGAATAGGCACACCTTCCCTTTGTCAACTGGGATGTTGACACACAGTTGACCCCGGCTGCTGACAAAGGATCCCACAAATCCTTTAGTCAAATGGTCATTCACAAAGGGTACTCAACACCAATCTCAGTCTAAAGCCTACCAAAAGATTTTCTGATTTTTTGCAAAACTCTCTGTGTGTGCATGTTGACATGCTAAAATGATACCAACATGGTGCTTCACGTGCACACACAGGATTTTGACTGAGATTGTTGTTGAGCATCCTTTGTGGATAATGATTTATTTATAGGATTTGTGGAATGCTTTGTTAGCGGCTGGGGTCAATTGAGTGTCAACATCCCAGTTAATAAGGGGAAGATGTACCTGTTGTGAAACCTCTTAGAAGGGTCCTTTTGGGGTTCAAGAAAAGTCTCTTTTGTGTGCATGTCAACATTCTACAAAGCTAACAGTGCCAGTTCCACAGGTTTTTTCTGCATGCAATGTTAAAAAAACATGATTATGGAAGCCCATAGAGCCACACCTGATTTTTGCTTGCTGCTAGTTTGTATGTTATATACTTGACCAAACCAAATGCATCATTTCACAAAATTAACTAAGTCCAATCTCGTACCGGGGTTTTTGCATCGCAAGCAATGACCAAGGCACGAGGGACTTACACGGTAGGTCAGGCTTTTGGCGTGGATAGATTGAGATTCTAGTAGAGGGAATCTAGAATCTCAATTTCCACCACCTTTGCCCAAACTTTACCTCGGCAAAAAACGGCAGGCGTACAGCGCCTGCTTCTTCCCTTTCTTTCTGTCTATTTACTTTCTCTATTTCTCTCATTTTGTATTTTTTTAATGTTCCAAACGTGATCATTTCATTTTTTGAAATTCAACTGCGGATTACATCTGTTTGTATGTAAATCTGAGCCCCGGACCCTGACCCGCTTAGGGCAGGGTTACTTTGCAGTTGCAGATCTGCAAGTGGTCAACACAGTTGCTGGCCTGCAACTGGGCCAAGGCACAAAAATTCATCGGAAAGAGGAAAATATCGCTTCCAGTGTATGTATACAACATCAATGTTCATTTAGAAGAAATTCATTCAAGTTACTCTGTCTCCCACTGAGATTCAAACAAAAAGTGAACGATGAACACACGAAGTTAACAGAAGGAATTGGTTCTGGACCCTGTCGAAGAGGCAACCGACCAAGATTTAGTTGTTACTCGCCCATTGCTTGCGCCATCAATTTTGAATAGTGCTGTATCTTTACAACAAAAGTTTGTCAAGAACAGCTTCATCAAATGGTACAAAGATCAGATATCAAAAGACATACAGGTCAACACTGCAGTTAGCCTGATGAACGGCTTAAATACATTTCTCATGGCTGGAACTGGCTTTGGCAAATCCCGCATCCCGGAGATGTTTCTGCGTCTTTTTGATCCACGTCAATTCCCGGTAGTGCTTGTTCTGAACCCATTGGATGCGCTTGGAGATACTCAAGTGAGCATTCAATGTTTTGTCTTTGTACACACAAAGCTGACTACTTTTTTTGTAGGTTCTGGAGAAAACAAGGCAAAATATCACCTCGATCAATTTAACAAAGACTACATTTGATGCTGAAGCTTTGGAGAAGTTACAGAAGCATTACTATCGTTTTGTTTACTTGGTATGTGTTGTCCGATGTTTTTTACACCGGATTAGAAGCCCAAAAAGAGTGTATGAACTCATGATCTAACTCTTACCCTTCTGAATGTAGAGTCCAGAGATCTTTTCAAACAGTGCGTCATTCCGAAAACTCTATTACAGCTCAGATTTTCAGAGGCACCTCATTTTGAAGGTTGTAGACGAGGCACATGTAGTTTATTCATGGGGGCTTGTGGCAAGTGGAGCAGCAAAGAGGCTTCAAAGCCACAATTCACTTCAAGATATATGTGAATTTCGACCATCCTACGGAAGTATTGGTGATGCTCTCATGGCGACAGACAAAGTTCCTGTGCTTTTATTATCTGCTACTTGCCGGCCAATAGCTATAAAGAAAATTTTATCCAGCTTACACATCATACCTCGAAACATGACGATGATCGAGGGTGAACTCACTCGGCCAGAAATACGATTTATACGAATGTATCTCACTCGACCACTTTCTACAGCTGAAGATCTTCATCAATTGATCCCACTTCAATCAGTAATCCCAGATCAAGAGATGATATGAACATTGATCTATTCCGGTACCCAAAACGCGACTTGGACAGTCTCGCTAGTTGTACATTCAGCTCGAGGGAATGTAAAACAGGCGCATGATGGCAACAGTACTTGTTGCAGAAGATATCATGCCTCAACTGGTACCAAAGACAAATTGACTCGTGCTCAGGAGTACGGTGAATCAAAATTCTCGACGATGTCCTGTACCAATGCACTTGGACTCGGTCAAGACTGGAGCATTGTCGATCAAGTGATCATCTTAGGAGCTATGGATCCCAATGTAATGATACAGATGGGTGGTCGAGGTGGTCGAGGTATTGGGAAGTCATGTCTTGTGATCATGCTTGTTGAGCCGTTCCAAAAACTTGGTAGAAACTCACTCGAGGAATTTGAAAAAATTGATTTCATGAATGATGATGACCGCACAAGTGCTTTGCGTATCACACCGGTGTGCTTGAGAATAGCACTTGCCTTGGATACTAAGCAAGTTTCTATTGTTTTTTCTTCCTTTGAATTCATTTGAACTAATTTGTATCAATCAAACAGGAAAGGTGTATTCCCACTTTCAGTGGATGAACCTGCCTATATTTGCGAGAAGAAACGTGAAGAACAAGAAAATTTTCCTACCTGCTGATGTTCAAACTGCGACCCTGTTGGTGCAATTGAGCTTATTGCGAACCTCAAGACCACTGGCAGAAGTGGCATTCAAGACCTGATCAATCAGCCAACAATCGGCGATACATTACCAGAGCAAAGTTTCTTGAATCAGGTCCCAATTCTGAACGCTAAGCCTAAAGACCGAGGAAATCGACCTCTACTCTGTACAGATACTGACCCGATACGAGACTCAATACCGTTGATTGAACTGGCAGGCTCTCTGACAGAAGGCTTGGATACTCTATTTTATCAGAGTCATCATCAGACCCCAATGCTTTTACCTGTTGACCTTTTCAATTACGAGCACGCCTGGCAAATCATCAAGAATCTCACCGATGTAGTTGAAGGGAAACATCTACGAGGTATCATGGGTAGTCAGCCAGTGAAAGGTACATTTGACATGATCATCGATTGTATTCGTTCATGGATGGATACTAGTAGCTATGCATGCTACATTGAAGAAGAAAAACAAGCTAAGCAAAAGATCCAGGACGACTATGATGTGGCGGCTGCTATACTTGCATCATATGAAGCACAACAGGTTGAATAAGCTGAGAAGCAAAAAAGAAAAGATGAGGAAATTCAAAATCGAAAAAGAATGA